TCCTGAGGGTCTGTCCGTCTGTCTTCAAAGCAGGGAGACAGGCTGAGGTTATAACTGCTGCCCTGTCCCTGATTCAGAGCTGAACCTGATCTGCTGGTTTTGCTGAACTTGAGCAGGGGTCAAACTGAACCGGAGCTGGAGCGCGTCTGGGAGCAGCCTGGGCACCTGGACCTGCTCACCATGCCACCCTCTCGCCGTGCCACCACGTGCTGCCCCGCACGCAGCACACAGGGTGGGACCATGCTGTCCCCGCCATGTCCCCTTGGGGCCAGAGCGAGGTGCAAACCACCCTAGACTGCCCATCACAAGTAGGCACATCCAAGACAAAAACATCAGAGAATTAATGTGTGCACTAATCGATTTTATCTTTGCTAATTAATCACCGCCCAGCAGAGCTCACCCCTGCGGAGGCAACTCCTGTCTCATTGTACAGGTTTTGGAGCCGAGCTCTCTTGGAAAATGCCGCTCGCTTCTCTCTAGGAGGAGCTCAAACCCTGCTCTTCCCAGCGTGGGGCTGGCGCTGCCGCAGCCCTGCCCAGTGCCATGTGCGGGAGCCTCTCCGAGGGTCCCCCAAGGACCTTCTGTCCCCAAGGGGTTCCCAGATGCTCGTGAGCCCCTGTCTGTGATCCACTGGACGGGGTCAATCCAGGTGCATGGGGGCACGGGGGAAACAGAGACCCTTTGGCACCCTGCAGCCCATCCCTCCGCCCTTGGGCAGCCCCTCTCGCTGCAGCACCTCCGACGGGTCAGGTTTTGCAGGACACTGGCAGGAGGCAGTAAGAGGGGGGCAAACACCTGGGGGTGGCTTTGTCCGCTCTGTCTGGGCTCGGAGCAGCCCTGTCCTGGGCTGCCCAACCCACCAGGACATTGCCTCCCGCCCCGCTCTGTCCTTGGAGGGGACATGATGCCAATGGTCCCTCTCGGCTGCAGCATCGCTGGGGCCCCGCTGCCCGTGAGGTCCCTCCTCGCCCCTGCAGAGCTGGGCTGGGACCACGCTGCTCACTGTCCTCAGCGGTGTAACGCTGCTGTCCCACCGTCACCCCCAGGGACAGGGACTGTGTCCCTGCTCTCTGCACCTCGGCCGGTCACAGGCTGGGAAGTCAGGAGCTTTCCAAGGGATGTGAAGCCCCTCGCAGGGTGGAGGACCAGCCCTGACACCCAGCAGATACCAACCCCACGCTGCGCTGTGCCCCTGGACAGCAGTTTCACTGGACGCCTGAGCTGGTGGTTGCCATCAAAGTGGGGTCAGCTGGAGTGAAACACTGTCAGCTGCAGGGGGAAGCATGTTGAATAAAAGGTCTTTGTCCTACAGAGATGTTTGGCTCATCTTCTGTCACTGTTGTGATCACGTCTGAGGCTGACACCTGGGACATCGACGCCTCCTCTTGCCTGGGCTGTGGCCAGTTCGTGGACTGGGACAGGATGCCAGACCCGGAGCAGGAGGCGTGTATCCCCCGAGACATCCTCAGTAAGCCCCCGAAGGAGCTGAAGAAGCTGTCGAGAGAAGGCTGCTGGGCAGCGAGCCGCGCTTTGAGGGCTCAGGTCTACCACCAGCTCATCCAGCGCATCCCCTGCCGGCTCGTCACCCCCGATGCTCTCGTCTACAGGGACGTGGCGAGTCGGCTCTTTGGGAGGCAGAGCGTGAGCTCCCACCCTTTGCCCGAGTTCCTGGAAGGATGCTCCATGCCCACGTACTGCCTCAACCTGCACGGGGTCACCGCCTTGAAGAAGATCCTCATCTGTGTTGGCAACCTGTTCCCGGACATCACCTACAGCCCCGTCCTCCCCTCGCTGGTGGCTCTGCTGCTGCACTACAGCGAGGACGAAGCTCAGTGCTTCGAGAGCATCTCTCGCCTCATCGCCAGCAATGCTCCCCATGCCAGCTACATCGACCAGTCCTTCCTGGCCCACCAAGCCTCCTGCATGACTTTTGGAGACCTGGCCAACAAGCACTGCCCAGCAGCTCACAAACTCATAGCCAGCGCCTCCGAGAACGTCTTTGAGGTCTACTCCGAATGGTTATCGTGGCTCTTCCATGACCTCCCCTTCCATTACGCCATCCGCATCTTCGATGTCTACCTGCTGGAGGGGCAGAAGGTCCTTTACCGCATCGCCCTGGCCCTGCTGAAGCAGTACAGGCTCTCGGTGACCTCTGCCGAGCTGGAGGGGACCGACGTCAAGGCAGATCTGCAGGCTTTCATGCAGAACATCGCCGAGCACGTGAGTGTCGACAAACTCCTAGAGAGAGCCTTTGGCATCCGGCTGTTCTCCCGCAAGGAAATCTGGCTGCTCCAGATGGCCAACAGGAAGGCGTTAATGGAGAGGGGCACGACCATGGTGCAGAGCAGGTAAGGAGACCTCTCTGTGTGCCAGCTCCTGGGGTACACAGACAAAATATGAGTTACAGCGGAGATACAACGTGGGGGGAGCTGCAGATATCTCCCGTAGCTTCAGCTGTGCTGGGTGCCTCACGGCCCCTTGTGGGGACCCTGTTAGGAGGCACTGTACAGCCAGAGCTCACGATGGTAACAGAAAGCTCGTGATGCAAAAAGCATGAGAACACCTGATGCACCGGGGCTGCACCCCTCAAAGCAGACAGGCACCCCAGCTTGGCAGTAATGGAGGTCCTCTCTCGCGCAGGCAGTCCTTCCACCTGGCTGTGGACATGCAGAACTTCAGCTCCAGCATTGTAACGGCTCAGGAGATGCGCATCATCTGGTCCTGGATCCCGGAACGCTTCTCCCTCTTCCCTCCACTGCTGCTCTTCTCCACCTCAGAAGATGGGTGTAGCCTGCAGAGGTAAAGCCTCATAGAATCACAGGATGGTTTGGGTTGGAAGGGACCTTAAAGCCCATCCAGTGCCACCCCCTGCCATGGGCAGGGACACCTCCCACTAGCCCAGGTTGCCCAAAGCCTCATCCAGCCTGGCCTTGAACCCCTCCAGGGATGGGGCATCCACAGCTTCTCTGGGCACCCTGGGCCACTGCCTCACCCCCCACACAGGAAAACATTTCTTCCTCACATCTCATCTCCATCTCCCCTCTTTCAGCTTCAAACCGTTCCCCTCATCCTGTCCCTGCACCCCCTGATCCAGAGCCCCCCCATCTCTCCTGTAGCCCCCTTTCAGCACTGGGAGGTGCTGGAAGGTCTCCCCGGAGCCTTCTCTTCTCCAGGCTGCACACCCCCAACTCTCTCAGCCTGTCCTCGCACGGGAGCTGCTCCAGCCTCGGCCCATCTCCGTGGCTCCTCTGGCCCCGCTCCAGCAGCTCCGTGTCTGTCCTGTGCTGAGGACCCCAGAGCTGGGGGCAGCACTGCAGGGGGGGTCTCACCAGAGCGGAGCAGAGGGGGACAATTCCCCCCCCCTCGACCTGCTGCTCGTGCTGGAGGTCACACAGGAGCCACCACCACTCTCTGCTGTCCCTCACAGCCCCTGCCCGCTGCACACCGGGCTGATGCCTGGCATTGTTGCAGGGTCTCAGTCCTGCACTGACCCAGCCTCCCTGTCCATCTCCGCAGGTTCTACACGTGCTGTGAAGGCTACGAGCCGACGGTGCTGCTGATAAAAACAGCCGAGGGGGAGGTCAGTACGTCCCCAGCAGCGCCGTGGGCTGCACTGCGGGGACAGGGACGGGGATGGGGTGGCTGACTCCAGCGGCACTCCTTGGAGCAGCCACGGGGCTGCGTGTCCCTCTCCTGCCCTGCCCCAGGGTCTGTCCCTGTGCCCTGGAGAGAACAAACTGCACCCCAGCACCGAGAGCACCCCCAGACACGGGCTGGGCTGAGGGTGCTGCTGGGGGAGCAGGAGGAGCCGGGGGGATGGAGAGAGGCCATGAGCAATACTCCTTTATTGCAAATGCGGACTGAATCATTGCAAACGCAGACTGAATCATGAAGCCCTTGCTAAGCACACTTCCCTGAAGTCAGCAGGTGCTTTGCGTGAGCCAGGACTTGCTTTCAATGCACTAGGTGCAGGGATCTCTGATGGCAAAAGCAGCCTCACAGGGAAATGGAGGAGAAATGAGGACAGCTTCTGCAATATTTGAAAGTCATGCAGTAACTGCAAAAACCCCTGAGCCAGGCTTCTTCCCAGGGACTCTGGGAGTGGCTCATAAACCCGTACTTTATCTCTCCACTCTTCATCAAACAGCGGAGGCGAGTTCTGTAGAGTGTTCGGGCATCCCAGGGATTTATTGACCCACCACTCCTGATGTCCCAAGCCCGACACTTCGGCGTGGTGTGGAGATAAACACCCTCTACCCCCTAGGGTCTTGTGCAGATGAGAGAAGGTGACTTACAAAAACCATATTTCCTGCACGTTTGAGCTCACTTTATTCCTTAGCTGGTACCCAGCCAGGCACAAGCTCCCAGCTCTCAGCGGGTCCCCTCCAGCCACGCTCAAGTCAAGGCTGTCCACAGCAGGGTCACCTTGGGACCGGTTAAAAGCCTGGGAGGTGAAACAAAAAAAGTTACCTGAGTCTTTGCTATTTTAGAACACATTTTTCTCTATAGACTCATAGACCAGGCGATCACCTTGCCATGTTACCTGAGTCTTTGCTATTTTAAAACACATTTTTCTCTACAGACTCATAGACCAGGCGATCACCTTGCC